TTATTATATTCATATAAAATTTATAAATTAAGTATCGTAAATTATATATAATTACCTATAAAAAATAAAAAAAATTAAATGAATCAATCATTCAAAATATATTTCACAAAAAATAAGGCATTTTGCTAAAATTAATCAAATAGAGAGAAGCAAAATCATTAGAAAATAATCATATATTGGGCATGTTTGGTTCAGCTTTCAAGTGTTTCAGCTTTTTTAACACTATTCATAATTCATAAGTTTAAATTTCTCTCTTAAAAACTTACTTTTTTTAACCGTAAAAAGACCTTAAACAGTAAATTTTGAAAAGTTTCAAAATTTTACTTTTTAGAAACTTTTTTTTTACTCACTTTTTACTCTTTTTAAAAGCAACTTTTAAATTTTTCCTCCAATAAAAATTTAAATTTATGAAACATGAATATTATTAAAAAAAGCTGAAGTACTTACAAGTTTCACCAAACATGTTCATTATCTTCTACTGTTGGATTCTTTATACATATAATTGGTATACAATGTATATTTGCCTTCTAGTAATCTAGATGGCAAGTTTAAAAAGTCAAAACTCTCAGTTTTTTAACTATGGTTTGAACAATTTGGGTGAACAAAAATAGAGATAATTTCAAAAATTATTAGTGGAATGTGAACAAAATATTTAAGATGATTCAAATAAGTTCTTTTGCTTGGTTAAAAGATGGGCTTCAAGGTGCATGATTTTCCTTTTGTGATTGATGCAAATTTCCAATTTCTTATAGCTACTTTTGTTTGTTTAAGAAATAGTTTATGTTAGAGTGTATCATATTAATTATGAACTTACATAAGTATCGAAGAGTTAGTGTACTCCAAATAATAATAATTTTTTGAGTTAAATAGAGGCAAACATGATAATTGAGATTTGAAAATATACTCATCTTATATTTCTTAATTCAAAATTACTATAATTTAAGTTTAATAAATTAGTATTAAAAACGTGATTAATTATATAAAATAATAAAAAAAGTTCAACTTGCGGGTCAACCGATGACCTAACCTGTTAGGGTCAGGTTAGGGTCAGGTTAGAGTCAATATTTGTTGACCTACAACTTGTATATGATCTAACCTGTAAAACTCTTAATTCAAGTAAATCCAACCTGAACGTGACCTAATTCACCCATTTGTGTATCTCTATTGCCGAGGCAATATAGGAAAAAATGCTTTGCAAAGCCAAAACATTGGGTTAAATGGGTTTATTGTTCGGTGGCTATAAAAAAAGATGAACATACAAGAACATTGCTTGTTCATTCTTAAAAGAAGTAAAGCTGGTTCTTGCAGCTTCCATGGCATTTGCTGGGAGAGATGAATAATATTTCGTTGGCCTGGAATATGTTTAGAGTTTTATAAGTGATTTATATGAGGCATATTTATAAGTGAAACTACTAATGCAATTGTGCTGTTAGTGTAATTTGATGTTAAGAGTCTACTTTGGATTTTTTCTTTTTTTTAAAGCTTAAAAGTCACATATGTGAGATTAAAAGTATTTTTGAATCGAAGGGAATAAGGAGGAGGGAAGAGTATGAGAAAAAAGTTTTATTTAGTTATAAAAAAAAAAAAAAATTGAAGAGGGGAGAAGGGAAAAAAATTTTTTACTTTACTTTTTTAAATTTATTTACTCACCTAAAGAAAGGAAGGAAAAGGATGGAAAATGAAAGGATAAAATTTCTTTTTTTTCTTTTTTCTTCTATCCTCTATACTCCTCAATTCAAATATAAGATACGAATTAAGAAAGTACAAACCTTCAAGGAAAAAATTAAAAAAAAAAAAAGGTAGAAAAAAATAAAGGAAAAGAAAAAGCAGTTTCAGCATCTTCTAAATATATTCCGTATAATGTCTGATGTGGTTGTGGATTCTAAATTTGCCTTTTACAGCTGACTGAATTGTGTGTTTTGGTTCGGATTGCTCCATCCTACCTACTACCAAGACCGAAAGCCGCACTTATGCACTGTTTTATTTTCTTATTTAATTGATTGGCAAAAATACCAAATTAGCCCCTGAACTTTATAAGTTTGACCATAAGTTTCCCCAGATTATAAATGTGTAACCTTAAGTTCCTCAACTCTACGACTATGAGAATTTGTGACTAAATTAACAGAAAAAAATCACATGCTTCATCACCCACCATACAAAATTGCCATGTTACTGCACACATCAACAAATTTATCTACCTAAGCATACTACAACGGTTAAATTTATGTATTTCCCCTTAATTTATTATCAAAATTTCAAATTCCATCTATCCTCTCTTGATCAACACCAACCTCAACATTGCTTGTATTTTTTGAGCATTTAATCCACAAAAATCACTTCCAAAACCAAGTAATTCAACAATAATTTATTTTAAGTCATTCCACTTCAATTCATTTCCACTTTCAAATAAAAATTAAACCAAAAAAATATTAAAAAAAAAATACAAAAGCCCAAATTTGAGTTTCTAGATCTTCTTTTCTCTTCCTTTTTTTAGATCTTAAATCCCTTCTCCTCCATCCTTTCTCTTCCTTAATAACTATCATGGAAAAGACCTCAAGTGTTGGTTGTGTAAAGGAGTGGGGTATTAAGCTTTTTCTTATTATCTATTTAATACAGATATAATTTATCCACATATCAATGGGATATATGAATCAATGATAATTTAAGGAGTTCTTTTAGTGGTATAATTAAGGGGTGGATGAAAGATCTTCTAACTTAGTAGCCTTTTAGTAACAAATCAATAAAATTATATCTCTCAATGTCCTACTAACCATAATTGATTTTGGCCTGCAGGATGCAGACCTCATAATGCTTGCAATAACACTACATGAAGTGCATTTTTCAATTCTAAGGAAGGTAAATATGAGAATACCCTAAATCCGCTATTTCTATTTTATTTTTTATTTTTGGTAAAATTGTTCCTTAGATTCTTGCTCTTCATTTCCTGGTGCAATGAAATCGAAGTATTAATTTCATTGTCATTAGGATGTTCTAACCCAAGAGCACCAACTAACCTGCCAATCAGCCCCAATATTTTCCCTAACAGAATCAACTCACGTTATAGGAAGTCTTTGTTGATGCTCACAGGAACTAGAATGCAGATGCAAAGAAGAAATTCCTACGAGAAACTCGCACGACTAAGGGTAAGTAGAGATATACAGATTCAAGTTTGTGACTGAAAGAATTCACTAACAATTAAGATTAAATGACAAAGGAATTGTGTTGCTAAAATGATCTTTGTAACGGGTAATTACACTGCCTGTTTACCTGTAGTGAATTTAAAGGAAGTTTCTAAATCTTTGAAAACCTTCTACTATTCAAAATTATGCAAATATATGTGAAAGTTACTTTCTTTGAAGATTACCTAATTTTAAGATAACCACCACTTCGACCATTGCTTGAATATATGATTCAGGCTTGGAACAAAATTAAAGGAGATTCCCTTATGCTATATGAAGTTTTTCTTTTGGAATGTTAGGTTTCCATTTGTTATGTACAGAGGGTTTGTGTTCTGGTAATCACATGATTCCTGATCTCTTCTTTTCTAGAAGTAATCGAAAGTGGATCAGAGAGGTCTAAGGAGAACTGTTACCCAAATAATGAAGATGAGGAGGTTGATCAAGCTAGAAGTCCTAGGTGATGGCCAGTTGCAATTATAGGTTTGTTAGTTTTCCTTTTTTTTTTTAATTATTTTTTGGATTCTTTAATCAATTGATTCTTACTAGGAATCAAAATTTTGCATTGTTTTTCTATAAGAAAATGCATCATTTTCCATGGTATTTGCCTTTGTAGATATTTTGAAGGGAAGATGAATTAAATATGATCCACCTAAGCTCAGTGTGCCAGGAAACAAGTAATCACCTAATCAGAAAGCTAAAATAGAGAAGGAGTTTGTGGTAATGATGAAAGTAAGTACTATCTGCGCTGTAGTTAAGTTGTTAATTCACATGTATTCATTTATTTAAATTTATGTGTGTTTTTTAATATATCTTATGATAATAAATTATATAATAAAAAATAATTTTGTATTGTTTTTAATTTTTTTTTACTCAATTTAAAATTTAAATATAAAATTTTTAATTATTGAATCACCTTTTGAGAAATTTAAATTTATGTGTTTTTTATTAGCAATTATACTGTAGATAATGTGGGGCTACTGACTAATATTTTCATAAATTTCAATCTCATTTTCTTTTAAATAATATGAACCCTTCTGTATTTTTCATGATTTCAGGCTCTGAAGTAACTTTTGGGTATTATGTCTTCCTTTTAACTTCGACTGTTCATGTCCTTTTTATAAGAACTTGCTTTTGATTCATGAAGGTCCTACAGTACACATCAACAAAAGCCACTTGCTTTTGCTTTTAACTTGGACCGTTCATCTCATTTTTCCAAGAACTTGTTTTTTATTCATGAACGTGGCACCTATCAACAAAGAGCCAAAAAAGAAAAAAGAAAAAAGAAAAAAACAAAATGCCACATGCTTTTGCTTTTAAGTTGGGCTTGTTCATATCATTTGATTTTTAGCCTTCCTCTCACCTTGCTTGTCGCGTTCTTCACCTCTCAAATATTCCTTTCACCAACTCAAATCATCGTCCCCCCCAAAGAAAAAATAGAAATTACGAAGGTAATTGCCGCACTCATTGACTTTTGATTGCTTAAAATTTCTTTTCATCATAATTTATAGATCGAAATAATAAAAAATTATAGCACCA